TCAAGCTTGAATCAGATGGCGCCAGGGCACGTCGCGGCTGTCATGGCCGTCTCACTCACACAACATTACTTTTCAGTATTGTATGTACATAGGAAAGTAAAGTGTAGTGGTAAAGCGCAATATTTGAAATTTTGAAATGAATAAGGAAGACAAGAAAGAATATTATGGGAGCTTAAAAGTTTCAGAATTGAAAAAGCTTTTAAAAGGGAAAGGAGCAAGAGTCAGTGGAAGAAAAGCAGAACTCGTGGAGGCAAAGTGGTCGAGGCATAAGCCATGACTTGGGAGCGGCAAAAATGTTGGTCTCCCAATTGCTTCGAGCCACTTTTTTTTTATCACACTATCAGAAGGAAATTTAAATTTCACTTTCTTATCGCAGGATATTACACTGCACTTCATTTTTCCTACTATCTTTAAACGTAAATGCAAACAAAAATTGTCTGCAAACAACAGCAATCATTTACAAAGGTTATGTCTTCTGCTTTGCTCATTACACAGATAGGCTCACGAACACAATACACAACTGTAAATTTGACGGTGTGTAAGTGCGACAGCCATATAACAGCCGCGACGTGCTCTGGCGCCATCTGATTCAAGCTTGACGGTAAAAGAGCCTCATAACCCAAGCGTTTTGTGAGCCAAAAAATGCTCAAAAATCGCTAAAACGTAGTTTTTTTCTATCTAAGTTATTTGTTTTGTACTTTAAATTATGATATTAAACGTTAAAGTTGTAGATCTTATTGAAATACAACTTTTTTGTGTAAAACATTTTTACCTAGGATGTAACCCACACGTTCTATAAGTCGAAAAATGCTCGTAAAATGAATAAAAAGTCGTTTTCCCCTATCCAACTTTTTTGTTTTGCACTTGAGATAATAAATTAAACGTGATAGTTGAAGATCTTGTCGAAATACAACTTTTTTGTATTTAACATATTTAATTATAATTTTTAATTTGTGCTCTAAATTACCAAAATACCGAAAAATTGTAAATTTATCGTTTTCCTCTCACTAACTTACTCGTTTTTTTTAAACATTTCAGATTATAAAGTTAATGTAAAACTCATAGATCGTGAAAAAATATAACTTTTTTTAAACTAAAATTTATGTCCGTAAGATAAAATTAACGTCATCAATCGCAAAAAACGATATAATACTATCTTCTTCAGAATACATACGATTGACACTCAATGCAAAGTTATGGGCGATAATCATTGTCTTCTAAGGCTTTCTTTTTTTCATCCCGTAGGAATGTGTACATTTTTTTACCAACCCTACACCGAACAGTACCAACTTTTAAACTTTTTACGCAGTTTTTGCATAAATTTAGCCCCTTGTTTTTTTTTAGAATGCTATCAGTTTGAAATCGATCAAACTGTCTCGTCACTAAAAAATATAGAAAAGCTATTACTAGTTTTTCATTTATGATTTCAAATTGAAAACAATTTCCGAAAATACTATTAAATCGAAATTCGTTAAAATAAAATTTTGTACAGCTTTATCAACTTGAACTCAAAAAATTCCCTGAAACCGTTTTTAAAAACAGCTGTTAATATTGATATACCCATTGTATATGGTTGTTTATCTTTTTACATCCAAGTTCTAACTCTAATTTTACTATATTCTCCTTTTCAAGTTCAATCAAATAAATATATAAAAAGAGCAGTAGATTAGAAAACGATTATTTTCGTGCAAAATAAACTTTTTAAACTTTCATTTGTATTGGTTACTAATAGTCAACGAATTTTCTTTGTTAAAATTTTTTTCGTACTGTACTTTTTAAAAGTACGGCCAATAAATTATTTAAACTTGAAATATTTTTTAAAGACTAACTTTTTTATAATTTCTCGAGTTGCAATTGCTATTCGAAAACATAATTTATTCCGTCATTGTGTCTCTCTATATCCCAGGTAGAATAGTACATGGTTCTTGATATTGTAACGAGAGAAACATTTATTTTCAAACTAACCAATTTTTTTTCTTTAATTACAGCATCATTTTCAGCTCCTAAATAAGCAGGCAACAGAAAAAATTATAACCAAATCACGAACTAGTGACCTGTTTCCATTTTCTTGGTTGCAAAAATGGATTGCAAAAATAACTCTAACAACAAGCAGAATAAGTCTAGTTCTGAAAATCCTGAAAGTCATATCAGAAAACCGTTGATCAAAACTTTTTATTGTCATCGTTGCCAGAGACACATGAGGGATGATTTGGCAAATAAAGTGAATCATAAGTGTACATCTGGATCTAAAAAAAATAAATCTTTCGACGGTGAATGAGCCTGTCAGTCGATAAAATCATGTTAGCCACTATCACGTCAAATGATTGTCTTCCAAAATACTTTTGTTATTAAATTTTTATTCTGATGAATGGTTGTAATAATTTAATAAAAGANTTAAAATTTATTTTTTAATTCCAACCAATTTTTAATGTCCAAAAATTATTCTAATATTTAGATGCAATGTTCAGTTATAAATAAAATGTATTGAGATATTGCATGTGAACCTATCAGAGATACTTTTTATGGTTCAATACAACAATATTAAATATCTCCTTTTGTTCACTTTACTTATAATCCACCCAAATACTGATGAATTTCTGATCTTCCGCTAAATAACTTATTTTGCGATATAATTTCAATGCTATAAAACATCTTAATAAATTTTTTTTCTTATTTTCGTAACTAACTCTTAATCAACGTTCTTTTCTAACGCTCAATCAAATTCAGGGATGAAAAATTATTGAGAGAAGCATAATTATTTTTTCTTTATCGACATAATGCTATTTTACTGTAATGATTTGTCTTGTAAGCGTTTTAGTGAGTTTATTTGAAACATTTTTTTTTACTTAAATAAAAGTGTTTTGAATAGTTTAGTAAGAAAGAAAAAATTTTCCCCTGTCAGTACGTAGTAATTTAGTATTTTTTTGTTGTCTTAATTTTTCGACTTTTAATAAAAATACTATTTTAAGGACAATTATGGAATTGATCATAGTTACATAAGATATAATAAAACGAAAATGGGGAAAATACAGAGTCATAGAAAAGTCTGTTACAGAGACGAATGAAAATAAATAGTTGAGGCATTAAAACTAATGGAAATTATAAATTGGAGGTTCTAAGAAGCAAACAGATAAATAAAAAAAATATATATTGGAAGGTAGCAAAAGATACAAATAACGATCGAAAGAGTGATAAAAAGATTAATAGTATAAATTCAATAATAAAGATACGTATAGCATTCGAGACAAAAACTGACAGATGGTGATTTATTTCCAATCCTATAAAGGAGAAGATACAAAAAAATTATAGTGATTACATATACATTCATTAGTTGCTGTATATACCTACTGCTGGTGTTAGCACATAAAATCATGTTCGCATTGCTCGAAACCGAGTTTACTCGACAGCAAAAATACAAATGAAAAACAAAAAAGAAAAAAATCAACGCTCACTACATTATCGTTCCGGACCGCGGTGTATGTACTGTATGCCGGTCCTCAAGAGATTCTCCCTACCAAATTTTCTATCGTACCAAACGCGATGATGTCGTTTCTGTTTTAGCCAACAGCAACTCCCACATAGTCATCCACCCGCAACCTCCACCAGATGCCAGCATCTCTCGAGGGGTAGCAGACTTTAGTGACCAACTTCCTCCGTCACCCGCAAGGGTCGCCCCGTTGTGTGTCACACACATCCAACGACCGGCGCGACGCCTATCGTATACACCCTCAATTTGTCTCTTTCTTTCGTTCTTTCGGTCGCACTAACAGGGGCATACGTGCGTGGAAAAAAAAAAGAAAAAAAAAAAAAAACAGAGAGCCGTGTAAGGCAGTAGAGTCGGTGTGTAGTTGAAAAGGCACTTAAGCACGAAAGGGGAGAGCGGGGGAGGAGAAGGAAAAATAATGAAAAAGGCTCTCTCTCTCTGTTCCTCTTGACTGCACCGTACAGCCGTGCTCTGGTGGGGGTGCAACGAACCCTCTCTTTCTTTCCATATCATTTTCCACAGAAGAGGGAGAGAGAGAGAGAGAGAGAGAGAGAGGGGGTGAGTGGAAGGAGTATACCCACATACAGCGTGCATAGTCGTAATAGCAGTGAAGATTCAAGAGAGGGTCTTTAACGGCACATGCTGTCGCCGATGGAGACAGCAAGTGTGTGAGTGTGTATACATGTGCGCGCGCTCGCTCGTTGTTTATAGGGGGAGAGCAGTAGAAGCAGCCACAGCAGCGGTAGAAGTAGTAGCGCTGCCAGGGACTCTCCCTCCGCCATCCGAGAAAAGTTCTCCCTACGTACATACACTTGCGTGGGTTTTTCTCTACTTGACACCCGTCACGGTCTTCTTCTTCTTCTTCATTACCATTGTCGCGTAAACGACGCCGAGAGAAAGAGAGAGAGAGACAAACTTTGTGTATTTGGGGGCTCGTAGTGCACGCCGTGTTGGGCTCTGTGTGCCGGGAATAGGGGTTAGACCTCCCTCTCGTGCGTTGTTTTGCAATATAAAACCAAAAAAGAAATAGAAAACAATTCACCAACACCAGTTGTCAGCGATTATAATGGCGACAGCGCCTGTCACCACCACCACCACCAATAACAACAACAACACCACCAACAATAACAATAGTAACAACAGTAACAACAACAACAACAACAATAACCCAACTACTGCAGCATCAGTGGCTGTATCTTCGGCTTCCTCCTCGTCCGAAACTCCACCTCTGCTCGACCCGGAGATCCTCGACTTCAAGAGCCGCAGCATCGAGCAGGTGGTCCTGCCGCTCGTCTCCAAGGTAAGAGGCACAAGCTCTTCTCCCTTCCTCTCTCTCTCTCTCTCTCTCTCACTGTATACGCGCTTGCTTGCTTATCACCACCACTTCATTCATCACGCGCTGCAGCGAGCACCTCTTCACTTTCAAACGGAAATCCATTGTGCACCTGTACCTACTCTGGTCTTTTCTCTCAAGCGGTGCTGTTTGCGTGTGCCTGAGATGTTCTTCGATTCGGTGGCGGCGAAGCCACTCTTCCTCGTATCTCCCTCCCTCCCTCCCTCTCGGTCTCTCGAGCTTTTGCGCCTTTATTATGTAGCCTTTATTATTATGTATACGTGTAACCACAAGTGTCGCATTAACGAGTAATCGCATGCAATCCGGGGTAAAGAAAAAGAAAAAGAAAAAGAAGAAAGAAAAAAAAAAAAAAAACATCTCGCTCCAAAAATACACGCGAGCGTATGTGTGTACGGTATGACGTGCTTGCAAGCTCTCGGCCGCACGCCGCAGTTTCGGGCTGTTGCGGCACACGTGCATACGCGCTATACCCATCACCACCACCACCACTACCACACATCTCACTCGCGCCCGCCGACGACCGAGAATTCGTACCTATATACATTACGTCTGTGTGTCACATCCACGTATACGCGCGGCCACGAGGTGCGCGTAGTACCTCTCTCGGTGTATAATCTCGTTAATCAGAAGGGTGGAAGGGGGGGGGAGTAGAGGGACCAGCTGCTCGCTATACACACATCCAGATATAAAGGGGATGTACACGAGTTGGCTCAGTCGATATATTCGTACGGGTGTGTGCGTGTATATACGTATTTAGTATACTTGCTGAGTCTGCGATACGAGTACGCGCATCCGAAAGGGAGAGAGAAATAACTTGGCCGACTGCCGAAAATCGCCAAAGATCCGCTATATAACATCCATGAATATATATGCCAAGGAACGAATTGGGACTGGAGAGAGATAGAGATCTTTTGCCCGAAATAGCGCGCTCTTATTTTTTTTTTTTCTTGCGTNACAGCGCGAGAGGAAGATGATCAAGCATGAACGTGTATTGCTTATCAGTGGATGTAGTGGATCGCGTATCCCGTTTAGCTGCGACCAACGTTAGCTTACTCGACGCAGTACCTTGCCAAGGAATATAGCCAGGTTATGAATTTAAGTTTAAGATTTTTAGGATAGTATGTAAATGGGTTTCAATAATAACAAAACTTTAAATTTAATACACATATATTATTACTATTATTATTAGTTTTGTTATTCCTGACTCGTTGGTCGTGTAACAGTTTCTCTGTAACAGTGCACTATTCCAGCGCACCACCCCCGTACATGTGCTCGACACGTAAAAACTCACGCACGCAATGAATACACGAGAGAGATTGATCTTTTTTTCTCTATTATTATTCCTCTGTACTCGCTGCCCTGCTGCTACATTATATGCTCGTTCTAGTTACGAGAACAACGAGGTTTAGGGGGGGGGGGGGTTAGCACGCGTAGGTGTATGATTTTTTTTCCTTCTCCTCCCCCCAACCCACTCTGTTCTCGTACACTCGAGCGCGCGACACGTGCTTTCTATATGACTATACCATTGTTCTGTCACTTGCACTCGACGGCTGTCGCTGTTTCTGTTTTCCGTGTGGCTTTTGTTATTGTTGTTGTTATCAGCTTTTAATAAATGTTTTAATGCCAACAGCGTGTTTGCACAGTGGATACTGCTGCAAAGTATCGTTTATCGATAATATAATAAGTTCGCGATGTCTTTCTTTTTTTTTTTTTCTCTCCTCTTTCGTTCCAATATCAATACGCGAGCACGTACAGACTGAATCTGTTTTGTTCTGGAATAATCACGGCCCTAGGGGAAGTAGGTTTCGACGCAACTTACATTCCTTCTTGAGGCAAATTGGACATTGGAACGTGCACGCGTCATCGCTCGTGCGAAGGTGCTGTTGCGGGCATTCCTCCCTCCTACATTATCCACCGGTGAGATTAATTACCCCTATATGTCCGAGCAATGCCCCAACCAGATCACGTTACAGTTGTCGTGCTGATTACCGCATTGGGCTTTGATTCTTCACGAGAGTTTTTGGCTATCTTTTTTTTCACTGGAAAATGCCCAGCGATAGATTTGGAGTGTGGGGGGTGACGTGAGGCGATCGATGAGCGACGATGCCCTTATTATATTTATGCAGAAACGTGATATGTATTGGGTAGGCAGGGCACGTGAGACATCAGCGCTCTCGGGGCTTCCGACATAATTCCACGATGATGAGGGAAAAGAAAGGTTTCTTCTCACGAAGAGGGGAGAGATCGGCTTATAAAGAGATGCGTTTATGTATTACCCAAGTAAGTATTGAGTCGGTAGTGCATGGATGAAAACGTCGTCCGAGAGCGTATCCTCAAGTGGAGGAATGTTAGGACAGAACAACTTCTCAAGTGTTTTGATGCATTTCGTTTGGCTTGAGGTTATTGCAGAGATAGGGATTACATTATTATTTTTTAGATCCAAATGTATTGAAGCATACGTTTAAAGCGGGTATTCACAAATTCCACCTTTCGTTTTTTCGCCTTTGTTACATCAATTTTTGTTGGTCAAAACCGTATGGTTTGATAGAGTTAGAGAAATAGTAAATTAGGAATCGATTTGATCAATTATTTAACGCCCATCAACATTGCTGGGTTGTATTTTTTATGAACATCGCGTAGACATGGTACACAATTTTCAATATTAGACCTCGTTGACACCATATGTAGGTTAAATCGATACATAGAACGTGTTTGATGATATCCCGAGATGATTAAGCAATAAAGAATTTTTGGATTGTGGTGGTAACCCGAAAAAATTGGAATAGGCTAATATATACCACCGTTCCCTTTCAGCAATCAAGTCAAAAGAAACCGGCAAAGACGAAAAAAAAAGAACAGCCTCAAAGGCGCTCTTGAAAAGCCAGTCAACGAGTGTAGCTACTCGTAGATACTTATCTGTATGGTAAGTCCCCCATGCACACCCACCATCATCCGACGGTACAATTACTCCACATCCTTAAAGAACAAAGTAAACCGTATGTACACACAAAAAGAGCGTATGTATATATGTATTCATCTCCTTTCGCCCGGCAACCCCTTAAGCCTTGCTTCGTCCCTTCCGAGGCCAAAGAGTCTCCTTTCGATATATTCCTGTATGTGTGCAATTTTTACAGGCTGCGTTACTTGTCATCACAGGACATGGATGCTTGCTCTGCTTACATTCAAAGAAAAAATTCCTTTAACGACTTTTGATTTTGCGCAAGTACATGTGTGTTTGGAAGGGGTGGATTGAGATGGTGGATCGGAGTGACTTGAAAATTTACGGAGAGGCAAAGTTTAAGACCCAAAGTTTAAGGCATTTGACACAGAGAAGAAGGAACTGGCTGAGCAATCGGGATCTCTATTAGAGGTGACGGGTAACTCCTGGTTTGAGTTTGACGTTTTTCTTTTTGTTCTATTCGACGGGTAATTTATAGGGCTAAGGTGTGGTTACGAGGAATAAAAGTACTTCAGTGATAGTTTGACTTCTAGCTGTGGAGTTGTGAGGATTTTTAGTAGTCAGTAATTGGTTTGGGGCTCTCGTGATTCACATTTTGGGGTTTGAGCAGCATAAATTAACATAAGAGGAACTGCATACTGCACCATCGTTTCTGTTTATACTTTTTTAAAATTTTTTTTTATTTTTTTGGTAATCCAACAGGCGTTACAAATAGTTACGTCCATAATAAGTAAGAAAAACAATAACATTCAAATCACGAATAAACGTAATCGAGTGACAAAAACACAGCCTGGTCTATTTCTACGGACATAACTCTATTTCTGCACCTATCCATCATCCCACGAAATTTCATTACAGAGACGAGAAGTTGTCCCACATTCCACGCGTCCATAAATTCCCTTTTCGCACTGGTCTCCTCAACTCCTCTTTCTCTCTCCAGAAATATTTGTCTAATGCACATACACACGCGTACAAGATCTACACGGTATCGAGCAAAAAAACATCGATTCTCATCACTTTGAACTACTATTTTTTCACGACGCGTCACTAGTGCCTATATACAATATCCTCTTCTTTCCTGTACAGACGAATAGGTCTTTGGACGCAACGATCGAACGCGTTAGCCAAACTTGGCATGGATCTGAAAAATTCAGATGACTCAAGAGCAAGTTGCTTCGACCTATTTCCACGATAAAAGTCAAGGCTAGATATTTCCTGCAGAGGTACCCTTTTAACGACACTAGCAAAAGTTGTTCGATTTGATCTTTTTTTTCATCCACGTGCTGATTGTTTACAAGAGTTCCAATCCCACGGTGACGAAAACAAATTGTGAATCAGCGATGTTGGCTGAAAGTTTCCAACTTCCACTATTTGTGTATAATCAAGCAAAACCATCGACAGCTGCGGAATCGCGGTTCGGAGAAACACGGATGACTTGAACAAACATTTATTTAGCGAGCCACCTGAAGCATTAAATGTGATAACGTAACTTCGGGTGTACGTGCATGTGCAGGCTGATTCGAAATTATTCACAATTACGTCGACGCATACATTAGTTTTCAGCGCGTACTCCAACTATTAAGTATATAGTTCCAAACGATTGTTGAAATTTGCGACCGTCGGGTGTTTCATTAAGACGCCGAGGGTTTTGTTGGATGGACAAGCCGAGTAGTCGTTGATAACAGTTTAACTCTAAGAGCTAAATACGTTTCTCGATGTAACGAGGCTATCTATATGATGTATTAGTTAAAACATTGTTGATGTGCGATTGTTTTGAGAAGATACAAACTTTTGTGGTGTGTTAAAATAAAAAAAAAAAAAACAATTAAAAATCTGATCAGAGTTCGCAGATGTATAAAACGTTTAATAGGCTGACTTCCTTCCTTCGATAGCTTCCTTCCCGATGATTAATATATCCATTACCCAATTTTTTTTCACTATCAAGATTTCTTGAATTCTTAAAAATCTTGGCACATCTTACATTGTACTTGATTTTATTTCAATACAATTTAACAAGAACGTTTCCTCTTTAAAAATTAATACAAATCCGCCAGCTCCCAAAGAGAAACATTTCCGTACGTACGTACGTGCGCCAGGACACGTACGCCTCGCCGATACGTGTGTACATATGTTGGATTTTGATACGATCTTCAATGGAGTGACAAACTCGTGCACGACAAAACTCATTGTTTTCGCATTGAAACCGCGGAGAGTTTTTGTAACAAGTTATCCGATGTTTTTTAGGTGGATATCAATACTTTTTATTCAGGTACTGTAAAAGGGATAACCTAAACATGAAAATTATATCGTAAAAAAAATAATAATAATTACTATAGAGTTATTCAAAACGTGCATCGAAAAAGTTTTGGTGAAAAGCGAGTATAGTGGGTAAATATTCGTCTGCCCTGTGAGAAACAAAAGTAGATAAATGCCGTGTATGGTAAGACACGCATACAGTCTAGCATACATTGATGCGCAGCCTACTTACATTACTTACATTTTTTACGAGAAAATTTATAGAAGAAACTTTTCTGCCAAACCTCTTTTTATACTTCATTAACATTTCTGTAGTTGTTTCAGTTGCCCATTGTTGGTCATAAGAGTTTCATATCTGTTCATTTTTTCAATATTAGCCTCATCAAAGTAAAAAATTCCTTGGCTTACGATATATTTTTTCCCGTGGCAAAAGTCAGATCGCTCCCTTAGTAAAATATTTTGATTGCTCATTACGCCAACTATCCGTCAGCAACGACTCGATATTTTTCCAACATTTAGAATCCCGCCATCAGAAAACGTCAAATCACAACTTGTTCGAGCATCCTCCCTAAAATCACGTCGGTGGAGTTAAGCACTTGTCAAAGCACTGCGTCTGACCTTACCCCAAGTCTCTTTATTCAATCGGTGAACTCTCCCGTATTAATCCTCCAACACTTTTTAAAAAAAAGTCGACATGACTGGATGAAAATTACCGAGTCCTGAGTTACCATATCCCTAAGAAAGATGAAGAGAGAAAAGTAGAGAAATGCATATAAATAGGCGGTTTCCATTGATATGCTGGTCCCGTATTTCACGCCCCGGCACTTACCCAGTCTACACTCCACAGTCACGCGTGACTGAGAAAGAAAAAAAGCCACGAGTACTATTCATCGTCCAAAGTATTAGTACGTGGATGCGTGGGTACAAAGAGTTAATACGAGTGGCTGATATCTCGTGCGTTACAATACCTATAATTTGATAGGCAGCAGTGATAGTGACGGTGGTGTTTCATTTTATTTTGGAGCTTGCGATCCCTGCAAATTTTTTTTTTTTTTTTTTCAAAAAAGGGTCAAAACATTACCAAGTTCGATGATTACTTAACGCTCTCTAATGAAATACACAGTTACAATTCTAACAGACAGTAAGATAAAACAGTTATGACATCTATCAACCATACTATCTGATAATGAATCCAAAGAAAATATGTGGACAAAAAGTGATGAGTAGTTCCTGAATTTTCTCTTGATGTGAGCTCGATAATTGGCGTAAGATTCACTTGAAATTAGCGATTTTTACACTTCGTTTCCTCTTCAAGTTGACATTGTTGATATTTTGTTTTATTAATTAAGCAGAAAAATCAGGGGTCAAACATGTCAATGAGAAAAGTTAACCTTACCAATTTTTTTCATAATCACGATTCAGCTGCAAAATGTGATAAAACATTTTTTTCTTGTGGTGGGTGGAAAAACTTTGCACCCTTTAATCACGCAACACCCTTATATATTTTGTCGTAATTCTTTGTCTCGATGTCTCTCTCTCTCTCTCTCTCTCTCGCTTTCTCGTAAGACATTTTTTAAAAATACCTCAAGTTCAGCAAAATACACGATAACGCGAGACTTTTGTGTTGAGAAACCACACCTTAATATTTACTGTATTCAAGTGCAGTGGTCCCACGATAAAAAAATACTAACCATAATAGAGTGAGACTTTGAACTTAAAAAAATGCATCCCTCTCTTTTCTTCGTCGTTGGTGCAGAGGATGCAATTATAGTAGTCCTACCACTGGCGCCAGTTCAAAAGATCAGCGCTAATGATTTCACCACCTTTTGGATGGTCAACTTTGAGGGAGAATAAGAAACAAGAAAAAAAAAAAGAGAAGGAAAAAAGGGGCCTCCGCAGGATCTGTGAAAGAGCTTTGAAGACTGTATCTTCTCCTTTTCTTCCTGCATACTTGATTTTTATTTGCACATGGGAAAGGACTTTGCTATCATTAAAAGTAGATTTTTCTTTCACGTGAATAAATTATGGTGCACGTTTCTAACTATGGTGCAGTCGTTGAATAGTAACGAGGATAAATGGATTTAAGAATATGAATAAAGATTAGAAGTGTACCAAATACTGTAATCCAATGTTTTTTTAACTTTTGATGGGTTTGTGTGCTTGGACAGACTTAGTTAAACTTGGGGCCCACAATCGGACTTTTTTAAATGATGAATCATTATTTCTAAGGTAAGGTATCCATTTGTGTCATGTAAAATGTCAAAGGCATCAATTGGTTTTTCATTTAAATGTTTATCACGAGTAGATCCATACTTTTGTCAATATAATAGCCTCAAAAGGATTTATAGCTTTTGTAATATCTTTTCTCTCGATTTTCTTCTGTATTTACAATAATGGCTATCAAAAAATATGAATTGAATTAATGTACTAATTGGTAAAAATAACATGAAATAAGAATTTAAGTAACATACGGTTAAAATTGTGTGTAAAGTTACATAACAATTCATGAATCTGACTAAACAAGTATGAAATATGTTGTAACAAACAGACGATGGTAATACGAGTAATAAAACAGTTATCCAATCATTTATTCTGACATAATTCCTTATCTCAAAGAAAGCAAGAACACACGAATCACGTAAAGATAAAAAGTCAAACAGTTGTATTTACTTTGAGTTCAATTTTTTTATTTGCCCATATATTAACCAAAAGCTCCCTTGTTTTTTCATAACGGTCGCAGCCGTCAGTTCATCGATAGGTGAAAGGTTTGCAAAAACAAGATCAAAATGTTTAACGCGAAAACCGTTTTCGTGCTCTGCTGTGAGTAAATCTGATAACTGTCTTTAACGATTAAATGAACTTGTAATTCGTAATACATAATTCGTTGGAAATCTTCTAATTTTACATCAACAGTAATCATAGCCAGTTTGGTTTCCAATGGATTGGCATATCCTCAATGCCATTGCCCTACGACCTTCGACTATAACCCTGTTTGTGGTGTTGATGGTGTGACTTATACGAATGTAGGAACGTTGGGTTGCCACAACAGCTGCAGAGGCACACGTAAGATTCTTATTTTAGTGAATTCGTAAGCAATTTTAGAGAGAGTTATGTTCAATGTTCTGAGTGAATCAATAATTTCTATCGAGTTTTATCAAAAATATGTAGTAATTAACAATATACTAATCATTATATTTCAGTCGTTGGAATAGCACACAAAGGTGAGTGCGGAAAAAAATTGACTACTTTGTCTCAACCCGTTTATCACCAGCAATGGTACTGGCCGGCATTTTATCCATCATATTCATATTATCAACCATTCATTTACCTGTAAAAATTGTCAAGTCACATATGAGTAATCCCGATGTACAATGTATAAAACTGTTTTACATTATTTTGCGTAATTAACTTTTTTATGAATAGTTCAAACGGTCATTATTTTTGAACAATAATAATAAAAAAAATTGTTTATTACCTCAGTCAATAAAATACGGATAAATATTGTCAATTTCCTCTAATTATTTAGTATTAACAGTTGTCCTCCTCATTACATGATGTTACATAATTTTTAAAAACAACAATAAATGCCAGTAAAAAGTGTAGCGAAATAAATATTGCTAATTACAAGAGTTAAATGAATTTTCACGTATTTAAACTACTGGGGTCTGTCTTGACTTGCAGTGCGTTTGTATGTTTTGACGTAATATTTATCAAATAAACTCTGAGGTATTTATTTTATTTCTAAGAATATCAGTGTATCACTTATAAAAATGGCTATAAATTACAAAAGCGAAGGTTCAACCAATCTCACCCCAAGAGAAATTTTTTACAATTTTAAAAATACGACAGTCACTCGCAATTTCTAGAACTCGTTGGTACATTTGTTTCATTAACATTCTCTAAAAAGAAATGGTATTTCCGGACACTAAAGATATAAAGAAAATCAGGTCGTCATAATATATAAGAAAAACTCTCAAGTTTCGACCTCGATAATGTAGTAGTCTCGATTACCGACAAAGGACACACAAGAACTACCCTGCAGCGAAACAAGATAAAAAGACAGCAGAAGAGAAAGACCAAAATGAATAGGGAATCGAAAAAATCCAAACGTCTCGCTATTACCGACCAGTGTGCAGCGAATAGACGCCAAGGAAATTGGCAACGGGCCTCGGGTCGTGCCAGACCGCAATGGAAACTTTCGTCGATGGCCAGATCGAAGCCGCACACGACCACTTGTTAGAGCCTTTTCCTCTCTCTCTTTCCTTCATGTGAGCTGTACACGCAACGAGTAACAGAGTCTCGCGCCTGATTACGTATTGACTTTCTCTACTTTGGTTTCGTCTACTTTTTCGATTCTTTTTCTTTTTGCTGGTTCTTTCGCACGTGCCGTATATATTTGGCTGCGTTTCAGGAAACACTTTTTTCTACTACTTCTCAAAGTTTCAAGATTCTCTTCTTCTATTGATCCCTGTATGACTGTGAATCGTAAATTCAGCTGTTCTTTTGTAAAATGAAGTCGTTGTCGTTTTAATACTTTTTTCATGTAAATACTTGGTGGAAGCTATAAGAAGAATGATTTTCATTACACGCTACGGGGCTTCATATAGCAAATGAAGAATTGTATTTAGAATTGCTTTGAGAAGTGAAATAAGAATGTTACTTTCACTTTATTATGATTCATATGATTTTGGGTGATAAGAGAAAACTACAATCGTACCTAATGACCAGCTCCTTTCCATGAGTTTCCATTTAATTATTATTACCTTTTTACGAAGGACAAACGGTATTAGGCCTATTCTTACTGTTTCAAGTTTTAAGTTTGTACAACAAATTAATAATAAATGATACTTTAATTATTAATATATTGATTAGTTCCAAAATATTGCAAATAAATAATGTTGCGCAGATAATTATCGAATCGAACTTTCCAGTTCACTCTTATCTTATGAATTTTATGATAAAACAAAAAAATCGATTTTGAAACTCGCAGAAATATAAAAAAAGCACTGATTTCGAATTTTCTTATGAATCATTATATACAATCAATATCCACAAAAAGATATTAAAACGAGTAAATTAAGGTTTCAGAAAATCAAATCGCTAATCGACTGCGAAATTGAAAACCAAGAGATTACCAACTTGGCATTTCCGCCAAAAGCCGTGAGGTGATGCATAAAAGAGAGAACAAGGGTGGGTTTGTGTAAGGGAGCGGGAGGAAGGTGGTGACGTGGCCATTAAAGGCTCGTAAACACGGCCTTCTGAACAGGTCGTGTAAAGGTACTGTAGTGTACCCGCAGCAAGTTGGCACAGCCAGTGCACAATCAATTACCATTGGGCATACCTTCGTTGCTTTTGCCACTGCGGCTCCCAAGTATCTTATCGATTGGCCCGCATTCAAATTCTTGCTTATGAGACTGAGAGTGCACTCTAGTCCACGTTAGCTCCATGGATTCTGGAATCATAGTTATTATTCAATTTTCCAGAAACACCAGGGCAGTCATTGCTGGGGATTCGAGCGAAGGATGTGGCATGTGATTTATTATTCCATCTAGACTGGTTGGGGGTGAGTTTCTTCATTTTCAAGGAGAAGACGTGTAACGACGGGAATCAAGGGTAGCGTTAATGAGGGCGAATTGGAGGGTATCATTAGACTCGTGTAGCTCGAGCTCGGCTTGAGTAAGCTGATACGGGTGGTACTCTCTTGAGTTGGGTGTGTTCGTCTTTAATTGCTGTTGTTCGTATGTATGTGAGACGTGAAATTCGAGTTATTGGTGGTTAGGTACGACTGTTGGGATTAGATTTTACTCCTCCCAGAAAGTGATTAGGAATTGAAAGTATTGTCGGATAATTGTCTGGTCACACTTTTTGGAAAACAGCGTTAATAGATCTCTTAGATTTTGGTTGATGTCTCAGTGTTGTTTTATCTTTGTAAGTGTAGTATAATTTCTATGCGATTTAAAGAAATATCTGCACTGGTACAATAGATTACTTTCAGTTAAAGAATGATTCATAAATAGGGACTCGAACATTTGGATTAACTAGAAACAAATATTTGTTGAAAGTTGAATGAAATCGTAATTGAAAATGAGCAGGTACTTTGATTTGGTTTTGTCATTATCTTTTTTTTTTTTTTTTATAAAAATAAACAAGTGTGTCATTCATTAACTGTTAACGATCGAGTATTTTTTACTTACTCCTAACAAAGAATATTGGAATTAGAAGATATATATGGATGTTCGTGTTTTGACAGAAAGTAACCAGTGAGAATCTATTTCTAAATTTGATGAAAAGAATTTCTAAGTAAATTATATAAGATTGTGCAAATAAGAATAGCTAAGCTTATTGCTTGTACTAACATTAAAATAAAAATCAAATCTCAAANAATGAAATAATATCGCAAGCACCTATCCCCACACAAACAGGGGCACTTACTGGTCGCTTACTAAAATTACTATAAATGAAATAATATCGCAAGCACCTATCCCCACACAACCGGGGGCACTTACTGGTCGCTTACTTAAATTACTATAAATGAAATAATATCGCAGACACCTATCTCCACACGACCCATGGCACTCACTGGTTGCTTTAAGCATTCATGATTAATGAAATAATACCGCAAGCGCATATCCCAACACAAACGGGGGAGCATACTGGTCGCTTGCTTAAATTGGTATAAATAAAATAATAACGCAAGCACCTATCCCTGCACAACCAAGAGCACTTATTAATCGCTTACTTAAATTATAATAAATAAAATAATTTGATGAAAAGAATTTCTAAGTAAATTATATAAGATTGTGCAAATAAGAATAGCTAAGCTTATTGCTTGTACTAACATTAAAATAAAAATCAAATCTCAAAGAAATATAATACTTTACAACATTAAACAATAGTATACCAGCTAGTCTTGGTAAGTCGATGATGAAGAGTATTATCCAACAAATAGTTTTTAGTGACTCGATTTTGTTGGGAAAATGAACGCCGATGGCTTTGTAATCACAATAGAAGAAGACAGCTTATGATTCACTTTCTCAGTTTGCTTCTTACCAAAGTTTCATTAATAGAGGCTTATGCTAACTTCGTACTTACTTACGGCTCGAAAATTTACGAAGAGCGCAATAGCCATTATATTTCACGGCATAACTAAATAAAAGTTGAAAAAGAAGTTTGACCAATTTTTTCATAGCACTTGCTACTTGAGAAGATATTCAATAACGAATATTAAAGTGTATCCAAACTGTACGGCTCAACATTTTTTTCCATCCTCTTCTTTATAGTGCGTACACCTGGGTCTTCTCTTTCTCTTTCACCGGCCGTGGGACGCAGCACGAACAATCTTGTCTTTTTTTTTTTTCAGCTTATAGGTTTCCAATAACGAGGTTAATAACATTGGGGAATTCTTCAACGATGATTATGTAAAAAGTACCTAAAAAGAGAAAAAAACTTTCCCTCTTTTTGCGATTTTCCAAGTAAATTGAGTATCGCAGCGATAGCTCGTTTGTATCGAACTCATAGATCTTTATATATCACCGATACTTTCTTGAAGGGACTCCATATATACGCACAGACTCCGTTTTGACATAACGAGGGTATTTAAATGCATTAGAAAAAAACTTGCCTCTTCTTGAAATCTCATGCATTTAAAAAGCACCGCTTTGTGATTTTCAAAGGGTGAGAGATCACATTTTTCCGGTCGGGTATTACTCGATTTATTTATTTTTTGTAATTGATTGCGATGAAAAGGTCATGGCTGACAGCTGATTGCTTGTTCACTATAGACTTTGAATTGAAAAACTTTATAGGAAAAGATCTATTGGAATTTAAAAAGAAAGGTTTGCTATGTTGATTCTTAACTGAATCATAGAAGAGCTAACTGTATTAATTGATATTGTGTTGCACAGAATTAAAATTCAACTGCCTTAAAATGAGTAACCTCCATGCCGATCTTTTTCACGATAAGTCGGGTGTTCTGACGCGCCAAGAGCGCGAGAAATGTTCCGCAGCAAACCTTTTTAAGCGGAACAATAAACAATTCTGTAAAAGCAGTTGTTCTCAAGGGGTTTGCTGAAAAAGCAGACAGAGTTTTAAATCTAGACTGTGGGAAGGGTGGTAACCTTCCTAAGATCCGGTAGTGCCAAGTCGCCGATTATTATGGCGTTGACCTCTCGCCAGCTAATGTGACAGAGGTGAAAAAACCCACCAAACCAATTGACGTTTGCGCGACCTTCGTGGCCACCGATGCTTTTAAGAGCTTTTTAAACTTAGAATAACTGTTTTATATTGTGATGTCCACTTGATACTCGGCGGATTTTTTATCACGGCGGTTCCGAGTGCTTCCACCATTATGCGCCATAAAATGAAGGGAAAATTAAGAAATTCCCCTAATGATATTACCTTTTCAGAAGATACTCCCAACGCTTACATCTTAAAAATGGTGAAAACGATAGAACAAAATTCATATAGAGTGGAAATTACATATTAGGATACCGCGCTCTAATATCAA